AGACTCAAGCTGACAGATGCAAGAAGAAGCCAGGTGGCAATACGATCAGAAGCCATGAGCCGGAATTGCAAGGTTAGCAACGCTGAACCCGATTGGCTTACATGTTTAATGGAAGCCCAACGAAGAGCAGTGTTTCCCCGAGGAAGGCTTGAATCGAAGTTCCGCGTCCCTTGTCGCTACGGTTTCTGAAGACTGCAGAACACACAGTCGAAGACTCTTGAAACTAAACCCTAAACCCTAAACCCTAAACACAAGCCGGAAAGCCTCCAAGCCCCTCAGACACCAGCGATGCCCCGCGAAGCGGAGGTCGGCAAGTACAAGGTTGACAACTTCGGTGCCGTTCGCATGCGGCACACTTAGCTGCCACAGCTTCCGGTCTGACTCTAGGCCTAGAGGGCTCAAGAGGCCATACTAAGGGCTTAATATGGCTATAATAAGGGCTTAATTATTTAACATGGCCATAATCAATGTTTAGAGTCTTGGAGGCTCAAGATGCAAGGGCGGGGATGTGTGGTTTCATGAACTCTAACATAAAGGTTTTTAAGCTCACTAGGAAGAATCCGAAAAGATTCAGAGAGAACATGTCAGAGGTGTTGTCCTCGAGCAGCAGACGGTGCCATTGCTATGGAAGTTGAGTTGAACCTCGTGCAGAAGAGCCCGAAGCTGCCCATCCGTGTTCATAAAAGGGCCATGGGGTTTAGGGTCTTAGGGTTTATGGTTTTAGGGTTTAGGGTTTAGGGTTGTTAGGGTTTTAAGGCTTTTGGGGTGAATCTGTAGGTAAAAAACATGAACCCCGCATGTCCGGACACGCGAGCACATGCACGTCAAAGCATGCATGCATACATGCATGTCCATTCGATGCTATGCGATGCGGTGTAATGTAACAGATGAGGTTACCTGTCTACCTAGATGTACGTGTATGTATGTGTGCATGTATGTATACATATATGCATGTGCGCACGTGTTAAGAATAAAAGTTTGCACATGTGTATATGTACGTATATATATATATATACACACGTGTATATGTATGCATATATGCAGTGTGTGTGTGTGTGTGTGTGTTTTTGTGCTCATGTTGGAATGTGAGAGTGTCAGGCTCGGCCAACGGGTGGCGCTGAGCGCAGTTCGGATCTCAGCAAAACAGTCTGGGGTTGCAGTGCTCAGGGTTTAGTGTTTATCAGGGTTTTAGGTTGCTGTGCTCTACACTGGTCTGTTTGGCAGCATGGAGAGATCTGAGATCATAACCTGTCGGGTTAGAGAACAAACCAGAGGCGAAAGCTCTAAAAGCAAAAACTTCGAGCCCAAGAGAAATCCGGCAGAGGTACGACTGAGCCGGAACCGAAAAATTCTGAGTGCGTCACACTGCCAGTGCTTCGTGATCAGATTTCACACTTCATAAATGCGAAAGCATCCTGATCTGGCTTTCATACGGATATGCACTTCCTCAACCAACAGCGGCATCTTGTGAGATTGTTCAAACCGCCCACACATGACTCAACACATCGTCCCAACCAATGTATGCTGACCTGTTCGAGTGGCTTGCAGCTTCGTTGTCGAATGCCTGTTTGTATCTGCATACTGGCAGGCCTGCAGGAGGAAGCTTGTTATGCTCGTAGCGAGTTTTCATTCGCCAGAATTCCGTCACAAATCATGTTGATACCGTAAGATTGTGCTGGACGATTCCTACACTTCTGCACGTCCCCCCCTTCAAACAGCGTTTCGATTCCTACACTTCTGCACGTCCCCCCCTTCAAACAGCATTGCGACTTGCTGCTGCTGTATCGTGAGCCTCTGTGCTCGGCACTGAGGCGCAAGACCTCTTCTATGTTGGTGACACAGCCCGGTACGCCTTAATTATGGGTTCGTTGTTCACTGAAGAGTCAGATTGTGGAAGCAATAGCAGAAATTGAAAAGCGGGTTCTTCATCAATCTCCTCGGTGTACACATGACTACGAACATTGGCCAGTGTAAGCTCGCATCCTAGCGCGAGGGGCGAGGTTTGGCAGGATACAGGGTTAACATGATGTTTTGCGATATGGTACATCATGAAGCTGCTCGACTGGGATTCCCTTGTAAGGAAGTCAAGGTCCACAGTGCTTACAACCCGGTTTTGATTATTTGGATAGGTGATATTCTCGGGTTGCCACACAGCGGCTTGAGTAGCTTTGTTTGAGTGTCGGAGCTTCAAGTTGGAGTTCCGTGTCGGACAATTTCGGCCCCAAGCTCACAACCCTCAACGGTTTGGAACCAGCGCAGAAGACCTTTCTATGCATCAGGGCCTCAGGTTAGACACTGAGGTGTTGTTTCCAGGCCGAAGCATCGGTGTTTTCGGCCTTATATGGGACTTGAGCTAGGTACCGACTTGTACAGTTGTCATTTCCCTTATTGTTTAATCAAGGACCAATACTAATCCCTTGCACGTTTATTGCACACCCCCCTAATAATAAAAAACACATTGGGGCGAATCCTCCCGAAACCATCCCTGGCCTTTAAAACCGATTCTGAATTAGAGGGGAGGGTTTCGAGGCTCCAAATACCCTCACAGCACAGCAAGAGCAAAAGCAAGAGCACGAGTTAGAGCAAGAGAAGGAGCAAGAGCAAAAGCGAGAGCATCAGCAAGAGCAGAGCAGCAGCAAGGGTGAAGCAAAACGAGGAGTAAGAGCAAGTGCAGGAGCAAAACAGGGAGCAACAGCAAGAGCCAAAGCCAGCACGGGGGCAAACGCCAAAGCGGGAGCAAGCATAACCCCTCAGAAGTGGCAGTAGAGATAAGCCCTATTAGGGCCCTATGAATCAAAACACTTTCCGATTTTTTTGGGCCCCCCACCCCGATTAATGTTGGGGGGAACGGATTATAAATAATGTTGGGGACTGTTGAGATCGACACCTAGTGAACGATTTGTGCATGGGTTTCAATCTTCTAGCATCTCGGGGCCGATAGGTGTAGGAGTTTTCAGGGGTTTTGGGTTTACAGGCTTGAAGTCCTGCTGTGCCGAGGGTTCAGGGTAGAGCAGGATGTAGAAAGTCACAGGCATTTCAGCCATGTATCACTCTTGATACCCTGCAGTTCTTCGTCATTGCAGAAGGTAGACTCACAAGACACACACCAACTCCTCTGACAAACGATTCCATCGTTCACGAGCCCCATACATCCGCAGGCTCACAGTTCGCCGAGACGGTCGTATCCACAACTTGGAGGCCAAAGGGCCCGGGGGCTCGCGAGATCGCGAGATCAAGCTCTAAACCCTAATCCTTACAAGCCCTTCTTGAGAGAGGTGTGTGGGAGCTGTTATGGCTTGGGGCGGAGTTCTGTGCTCCTTGCCGGTGCGGTCCAGTCGCCCTCACATCCTTACCAGCTTGTCCTCTACACCGCAGCATACAGATTCATAGGAAAGCCCTTAACTTAAGCCCCCAGACCCCCCGAACCCTAAACCCCGAAACTCTAAACCCTAAACCCCAACCCTAAACCCCGAAACCCTAAACCCTAAACCCCGAAGCCCTAAACCCCTTCTTCAGACCTAAACTATCGGGCCTAGACCCTGAAGCCCTTGAAAGCTTGCAGGTAAAACTCCGACCATCCACGCACCTCGTGCCGCCTGGGCCCCGGGACATCGAGGGTGCTTCAGATGCTTTAGGAGAGTGAGGTATAAAGTATATATAAATAGATAGATAGATAGATAGATAGATAGATAGATATATATATATATATATACATAGGGTAAAGTAGGGTAGATAGCAGATCGGAATCACTTCACATCCTCAACCAAGATCTCCGACCTCCCGACTCCGATTTTTGTCCGGGGGCATCTCAAACTTCACCGTGATGACCATCCCTAAACCCTACTTGGAGGTTTAGAAGTCCCCTATAATAAGGGTTATAATTCTAGTTACCCTACTTATAACCCCACTTATAACTACCCATGAACCTCGAAGTAAACCCTTCTGATGCTCAGAGCCTGAGAGAGCTCCTCTTCCTCCAGGCGCTGCCTCTACCGCGGGCAGGTGACGATTGAGCCTCTCGGGTCCGCACGGAGAGTCGTTTCCTGGTCTGGCATGGGTTGAGCTACATGGGAGTTTCCGAAAATACGGGGTACCTTATTTTGGGGTCCTTAAAATAAGGATCCTACTATTTAGGGTACTATATTAGGGCCCCCCCATTTTCGGAAACCCCCACATGGGTAGCTTGAGGTATGGATGGTCTCTTCTTGCATGGGTCGCGAAAGCAGTATGGATCATCTCTTCTTGTTCGGAGAGGTGAGAGAACATTGCGGCAAAGAGGACTTAGGTCTCAGGTTGCCAGCAGGGGTTTTCCAGCATATAGGATGCGTCCTAGAGTCCTAGAGACACTAAACCCTAAACCCCAAACCGTAGAAACGGCATCCTCTCACTCCGACGAACTGATGCTTGCAAGAGCCGAGTAGGCTCAACTGCTGGACAGGTTCAGGGTTTAGGGTTTAGGGAGATTTAGCAGCAGCCCGGAGTGGAAAGCCTGTTGCAAAAAGGGAGATTTAGCAAAACCGCTGAGCCTCGGAACGGTGATCGTACGGACTATCATATGTTTCATTTTTCTCCATTCATGGCAGGCATACATGTCTCGATTCTGAAGATTCTTTTGCAGTCACTTTTTTACTGCCTGCACCGCCTAATGATGGAAGCAGCTCGGATGTCGCACGCCATTGTTGTGAATTCTGCGGCAACGGGCGCGTTTTATAGGACCTTAATCATTGGAGTACACACCATGGAAGCATCGCCACCAGCCTCGTATCAGACTCAGACATGCAGTCTTTGCACCAGCCTCCATCTCTGGACGACCAAGCCTAGTTCAGGGTTTAGCTAAAGTGGTGGGAGTGCTGAGCCTGGTCCATCCTGCTGCAACTTGCAATGGTCCAGGCATCCTGGTGACACTGGGCAAGAGGATGAGGGTTTCACAACTCTTTGCGATCTTGCTAGGGGCATCCGCAACGTCTGAAGTTGAACAACTCCTCGATGTGCCGCGAGACATGCCGGTTCGGTGCCGCTTTCGAGCGGAGTGGGACTTCAGCCGTTGCTGCGATGCTTCACGTCCGGAACTACTGGATTCCACATGCTTCCGCCTACAGACGCCAGAGGGGCGCGACTATGCCATTCAGCATTGCTGCGACGATCGCCAGGGCCTCCGGGATCACAGCCGCATCGTGCAAGCCGTGGTCGGGATGGCTGGTTGCCTCTTCGACTGCCGGTGCCATGAAAAGGCAAGCTTCGATTGTGGCTGCGAAAAGTTTTTCTTGCGGGACATGGAGCGCATCGCAACCGATCTCAGGATTGCTCACCGCAACCGCTTCTGGCGAGCGGCTGGGCGATGGAGTGTGGGCAACCGGTCAGCCCATTGGAACAATCGAAGTGCCAATGCCATAGTCCTGGACTGTTCCGAGAACAAGAGAAGCGGCCTCCGGATGTTGGAGCATGTTCTCTTGAGCTTTTCCGGGGCCACAGTCGTGCAGGGAACAGAATCTCTCAAACTCCTTGACCATGCTTTGGATCGACACCAGCTCATCTCGAAGCGTGAGTCCCGGACCCGACTGCGTGCGACACGCCGTAAGCTTCATCCAGACCGCCTCCGAAAACGCTTTAAGCCGGAAGTCTGGGAACCAATTCATATCGCCATGGTTGCATCCATTGGTGAGCCAGTTAACGGGCGACGCGCGCTTGCAACAATTCGGTCCGCCCTGTACCATGCCGAGGAGAAGCCTTTGCACTTCCACCTTTTCGTGGATCAGGCTGGCCGCGAAGACATGGAGTCCGTCCTGCGAGACTGGCTTGAACCAGAGCTGCACAGACGAATTGCTAAAATTTCCTGGTATGGTCCGGCCGAGTTCCCCCGAATCTGGCAGATCCTGCATGCTCGTGTGCCTGCAGAGTGCATGGAGGGAGCAGATGGGTGGAAGGGTGAGTATGGCTCACCCGGCTGGATGAGGCTTTTTCCAGAAGAGGTGTTTAAGAAAGAGCCAGAACACCTTATTTGGACAGACGCTGGTGATTACCTTTTCTTTGCAGATCCTGCCAAGCTTCTGCAGGAGCACTTGCACGTGGTAGGCAGCTCCAAAGCTGTCGCAACTTATCCCTGGGAGAACCTGGGTGTTAACTTAAGTTATCATAACGGGGTTTCATATGGTTTAATCTAGTATAAAAGACGGTGTCCCCATCGTCGGTAATTAGTAGAGTAAGTGAGATGGTTCTTGCAAGTTTGGAGATTTAGAATTTGTAGACTAGGCTTCTGCAAAATAAGCCAGGAATGTCTATCCTTTGCAGATCTTCGCTTTGCGGCAGATGCGTGAGGTGCAGTGGTCTGCAACAGCGGAGGCACTGGTACGCCGGCTGCTGCCGCTGGATTTCACACATTTGTGCTACCGTGGCGAGGGCACATCCATGGAAGAGATGACCAAGCATTACCAGGACCTTTTTGCCCCGATTTCCGCAGAGTGGGCACACGAGCCTTGGCTACCCAACTTCCATCAATCACTGGTGAGTAAGGAGCGAAAAGGAGGCTACTTGCACACCCCTTCTGTGTGGGAAGATCGGGAGCACCCGGGCCTTATCGATCCCACTCAGGCGTTTGTTTTTTGCCCAACTACTGCTGATCTGTTCATACACTTCTTGGCGATCTGGCTCCATCCTCCAGTTTTCACCTTTGAGATTGCTCAGCTCCTGGTGATGAGCGGCGACTTGATTGCAGAGCAGGAGCGGATGCTCCGCCTCTATCGATGTGGAGCTCCTGTCAAAGGCATGCATCTGATCCGGAACTTCCATGACTGGGTGCCCTGGAGCCTTCGACTTCTCGACTTTTGGAGTCGACTCCCCGGCCTCTGGGGCTATCGCAAGCGGAGCATCCCTGCTCGCTTGGATGAGCAGAGAACTAACCGCAGCGACATGCGGAGTAAACATCGACTGCGGAGTGTGCCAATGCCCCGCAGCTAGAACAGGACTTCGTTTCCAAATTATCTTACCGCTGCCCTGATTTGTCATACCCCTGCCATAGAGGAAGTTGGAGAACGTGTATGGGAATAACAGCGAGTTCAGAACACATCAACAATTACCAGCGAATGTCGGAACGACGAGGGATGCATATAGAGTAACGGAGTATATGCAACATCATGAAGAGAGTGTTCCCCCAGGACAACAGACAATGCCTGCTGACCCTAAGCTCTGAATCCTAAGTTTAGGGTTTAGGATTGGGAGGCCGCAAAGCCCAAACCCTCCACCCAACCCCAAAACTGTAGAAACCCCAACCCTACACCAGATTCCTAGACCCCAACACCCTCATAGTAATCCTTCTAACCCTTAGAGGGCCCCCCGCCACCCCAAGTGCAGACTCCAGGCCAGAGTACTTCATCTTCGCTGGGCTCGTCTTCACGCCGTTGACTGCTGGGGTCCAAGACATTTCTGAGTTTAAGATTGAGGGCTTTAGGATTTCGGATCTGGAGTTTCACCAAAAAAGGGTTGTAGGGTGAAGGAACTCGGATTGCAGAGCGGGAAATTCAGCAAGCCCAGTTTCAACATAAATTGTGGAGAAACGTGCGTGGGCCTGGGTGGGTACAGAGTATGGGCTGGTAGGAAAAAGCGAAACATAAACTGGGATTTGGGCATTCCTTCTGATGCAAGTTCGTGGCAATGGCGCGGCGCATTGAAGACTTCCAGTTTCATGGATATTGGTGGCGTTCGGATTGTCAAGATTGGTCTGCAGCCTTGGAGCGGGTTCCACCAGGTGGAGTGTTGCACTCCTGCAGGTTAGGGTTAGAAGGATCTTGGGTAGAGCCTGTTCTGAACTTCCCTCAATGAATTTAGGCGAACAAGTTTACAGTTAAGCGCACCGGCACTCCGCCCACGTGCAAAAAGGTACAATGATACTCTGAAGATTTGTCTTGCGAATTATTCTGGCAACTCGAATAGGCCTCTAGAGTGGAGTTGCTTCAGCCGATGTTGTCGCATCTGTTTCCTTGGTTGGTGTAGAGTCCTTAGGGTGCCGTTAAAGGAGTACATATCAGGGTTTCTATAAAGGGCCTTTCTTTGGTCCGTCGTTGGGCTCAGGCTGACTTCTTGGAACAGGCATGGCCTTCTTCGCAGGAGCATTGTGCGGAAGAGCCGCTTCAGGGTGAGAGAGACGTTGATGGGATAGTGTTTCTGCTTGATCTTGTGACGAGTAAAGCCACCAGTCCTATTGTTGAGTTTACATTGTTGTGATCTTGAGTTTGTCGTGCTGCCAGTGGGTTTACAAATCGGAAACAAGGAGCCTTCGAAGACCTTATATTTTAACCCTTCACAACCTTGTGCGAGTGTGCGTGTCGAAACACCGGGTGGGGAGACACTTGTCTTTAACAGCCCTAAACCCATACCCTTGAACAGTAGAGTCAACGACGATGCAGCTCATGGCGTATCGCTAAGCATTAACCTCAAAGCCCGACTATACAAGTGTGGAGTTGACACCAAGCCTTTTTCTCTTGGTGTGTGGTAGGAGTAGGAGTAGCGGTAGCAGGAGCAGGAGCAGGAGCAGCAGCAGCACCACCACCAGCTTGTGTTGGTGTGGTTGTTGCTGTAGCAGTAACAGTAACACACCGGCACTACTGCTGCTACTACTACTACTACTACTACGACGACGACTACTACTACGACTACTAATACTAGTACACTGTGCCCCGAAATTTACAACAGTTAATTGACAGAACCACCTTGGTAATCTTGGCTTGGTCAGCCGGGGGCGTGCAAGATTGCCAAGCAATCTTGGCAACCTTGCTCATCTTGCCCCACTTGCCCGCCGACTAGTTTACCTTTTGGAGACCAAGATTGCAAGATTGCTGGCAATCTTGTTCTCCCCCCCTTGCCCCACTTGCTTCCCGACTAGTTTAAGATTGCAAGATTGCTTGGCAATATTTGCTCCCCCCCTTGCAATCTTGGTTTTTAAAGGTAAACTAGTCGGCGAGACCAAGATTGCAAGATTGCTTGGCAATGCTGCTCCAATAATTGTTCTAAATTCCCGGCGCTCTGTACGACCACAACAACAACAACAACAACTACTACTACTACTACTACTACTACTACGACTACTACTGCTACCACTGCTGCTACTACTACTCCTACCACCACCTAATTGAAGGTTCTGGAACTGCTGCTTCTACCAACGACGATGACTACTACTACTACTACTACCACCACCACTACGACTACTACCACGACTACAATTACTACTACCACCACCACCACCGCCACCACTACACCGCCACCACCACCGCCACCAGCGCCACCACCATCACCACCACCGCCGCCACCACGACTGCCTTAGCGCCTGGGTTTCTAGTTTGCTGCCACTGCTTATTTTCAAGCACGGCCACTGCTACCACCGCCCTCATGCCAACCTTTGCGACATCTGCTTTTGCTACCACTGCTACCCAGCACCACTGTTTTTGCTCCGACGACGGCGACGAGTGTTCGTAATGGCCAACACTGCTTGAATCTAGTGCTGGATTATGGCTCTTATAATTGGATTTCCGGGTCATTCCTCTTACCTTGGGCCCTCCATAAGCTTAGCCAACATGGCCGTATCGTTGACAGCCTTTCTGTTCCGTTTGTGGCATCATGTTGAATTTGCTTTTTGATGATGTCGACCACAGGGAGGCCATGTCCCGAAGCCTTGCGCTAGAGCAGGAGCAGATCTTGCATTTCAACCCAGAACCTGGCACTGCTCCAGAACTCCAAGCCCAAAACCCTGAACTCAGAAAGCTTAGCCACCCATTCCGAAGTTGGCCCAGCAGGACCGGCCAGCTCACTTGATGGTTTTGTTCCACAGGCCTTTGCGAACAGAATAGTGGGAATGGCTTGGCACAGGTCCTCTGACTCCTTCTTCCCTGTAAAGTGCTTACGGTTCCTGGGGTCGGACCATGCAGGTCCCAGCTAAAGACAGACGCCGGAAGACAATAAACAGCGGTAGGGACAGCCGCAAGAGGAATGTGATTTCTAGGTGAAGGCAGAAGCGGGACGAACCTATAATCAGAGCAGATAGAGCAGCAGAGAGAGCCGCAAGAGTAATGTACATTCTATAGGTAGAGGCAGAAGCGAGAACAATATATCGTTTTTTGCCTAGGCTTTCGCAAAAGCGTTGATGCCGGTGTTCTTACTAATCTTGGCCCCGGTAACAGCAGCGGAGATATGCCACAGTCATTCCGGCGCACATGTCACAGTTCTTGCCGAGAATATGTGGTCTGAACCCAGACCTGCTGCTTAAAGAAATAATGTTGGGTGTTCGTCGTTTTGACATACGATCAGGTGAAAGCTTCGATACTCGTCATCTTCGAGAGGCTAAACAGTCCAGCCGTATACCCATCGTATACCCTGCATCTGTGCCCTAAGCCACAAACGCATAGCAAGCACAGACGCAACTCGGCAAGGGGTGCCATGACGCCCGAGCGACGGCAAGCAATCGCCCGTTGCTTGAAGTTTCGGCATGGTTCATTCAGAGTTTGATTTCGGGCTCCAGTGAGGATGTTCAGACATGACCAGGATGTGAAAGCATTTGGAAGGGGCTTTCATGTTTCATCGACAGCCAATCCAGGCCTTCGCAATAATGTAGGCTTCCCCTACGTCGATGATATCCTCTCCTGTCGCAGATGAAGAAACAAGAGGTGATGCCAGCTGTAGCCACGAGAAGGGCAGAGCACGCACCAGGAACGGCAACGATCGCAGCCATAGTGTTTTCAGAAGCTGTGACAACCGTAAGTCAACTACAGATTCAAGTAGGTACAAGACCAATAAGGAGCTTATCACCCCTAGTCCCTAACCCTAAACCCTGGACCCTCAAAGCCAATGAGGAATCGTATCACCCAGCTTGAATCCCAAAACAGACCCGAAGCTCCCTATACACATCTTGAGCCAACTCAAAATGCTCGTAGCAACTCTTGGTGGAACCTTTAAACGGAACCCTCTTTAAGGACCCCTTAAACGTCTAAAGCTTTGAGAGCCCAGATCTTGCTCAACATCCTGGCAGATGATGTGAATGCAGGCTGGCTTTTATAGGGTTTAGGGTTTAGGGTTCTTATAAGAGCTCACTTCGGGTTTTTATAGGGTGCTGAAGGGTGTCTTGCAGGGCTCTAGTCGCATTTGTACAGGGCTCTAACAGGGCCATGGTAGGGTCCTTCTTGGATTTCCAGGAATTTTGCCGTTTTGCCTTATCCCCTAGACCCTAAAACACTAAACCCACACCCTAGGCTGGGGCTTCAATAAGGTTTCATAAAACCCTAAACCCTAAACCCCGAGTCTCAGGCTTTGAGGTCGTGGCCTTGAAAGAATTCCGCAGAGCAGCTGCAAGATTCATAAGGCTCAGGACTTTGGGGTTGCCCATACGCCCCATGGTAGTTCCTTTTTGGGGTTCATACTTAGAATCCTATTAGGTAATCCGAAAAAGGAACTACTATGGGGCCTATGGGTAGAGGGTAGCATAGCGGTATGGGGGCCTGGTTAGCTAGCAACATGAGTCTTTAGGTTTCCTTGTTCTACTTACCACATGACAGACCATCCCAAAACCCTGCTCCAATCAGTAAGGTTTTGCGCGGATTCGGTGGTTCTCTAAACTAGGGTCCCTTTTCAGGTCCCCAATGTAGTACGGCACCCTTATCAAAAGGACCCTACAAGCAATCCTAGTTTAGAGAAAGACCGCATGAGTTGGAAGAGTTGCAGCGGCCGATTGCTGCTGTTTCCGTTCTGAGAGGTGCTCAAGCCTAGGACTTCCCCAGGGCTCTTGTACATCAGACCGCAGGCTTAGTAAACAGAAGCCTTAGAATTCATGTTGGAAAAAAGCCTCCGTAGGGTTCGTTCGTCGAACTATTATATTCAGAATCTGCCACCAAGTTCTATTCTAATCTTTAAGAAAAAATATTTAAGGCCCCATTATCTCCGAAGAAGAGGAGCCCGGAAGTCTCACGAACTCGGAAGAAATAGAGGGCCTGATTAGGCAGGGATTTGTTTGCAGATTCTGTGAAAGAGTTTAGCTGGTAGGTTGTTTGGCACAGACCTGCCGGCTTGGATCTTCGATGAAGCCGCAGGCGCCATGGCAATAAGCTTTCGGCTGGCACGGAGCCTTCCCAGGCGCTCCTTCATTCCAGGTCTAAGATGTGTCAGTGGGCAGCCCAATTCTTCCGCTCATGCTCTGCAATCGCCACTGAGAGCGGTGGATGATTTCCAGTACATGTCGCGAGAAGAGGAACGTATCGTTAGAACTACATTGCACGAAGTCGGGACGCAAGCCGACATGAAGCTCTCTCTGAAGGTTTATCACTTTCAGGAGCTTTCGCGAACGTCCCTATCCGACGACCGTCTGCGAAGGGATTCTCGGTACGTTCGCTTGAAGCAGGACTTGCAAGAAGAGGTGTCCCAGCTGTCGCCTGCACAGCTCGTGGCGGCAATGGTTTCTTGCGGCCGCTTGCGTGTGCAAGAGAAGGCGTTGTGGTGGGACTTGGCTCGTGCAGTGGAGCGGCATACGGTCAAAACTCGCAGTGGTGCACCAGGCTTACAACACTCACAGATTTGTTTGGTCATGTACTCGCTGGGAAAAGCCAACATAAAGATCAAGGACCGCTTCTACTATCGCACTTTCAAACTCATGGTGCAAGGCTATGCGGGAGTTTGGACGGAATTCGATATGGCTTGGATCCTGTACGCGATGCGAAAGCGCAGGCTTAAGCCCTTTGATGAGGAGAAGAAGGAACATCGGATGTGGGCTAAGGTTACGATGAATGTCGCTGCCTTTTTCAGACAGAAGTTGCACTTCATATCACCACAAGGAATTGTCTTCATCCTTTACGAGTTCGCGAAGCAAGGGCTTTACCCAGGCGCATCGATCTTCCGAGCAGGCCGGCGTGTTCGGAAGCACGTCGCCTCCTTGAACAACAAAGCCTTGGTGTGCCTTGCAGTTCCTTGGTTCTCGAATACCCAAGCTTTGTTACGCTGTAGTAGTCTACAATCCAAAAGACTAGCTTTTTACTTCGGTGGTGGCTTGTTGGGAAAGTGAGGTTCTACTTGCAAAGTTCGACTGGCCAGAGCGTCGCCTCTTGAAGAAGCTCAGCGCTGAGGTGACGAAGCCACGGCGTCTGGTGCAGCTGCATCCCAACATGTTGGCCGTGATCTTACACGCCTACGCCAGGCTTGATGTCCGTGACATAGCTCTCCTGGAGAGCATCACCGAAAAGCTGAGCCGGTCTCCAGAGAAAATGGCCCGCAGATACACCACGACAGTAGCACACTCCCTGGGCCGCCTGGGAGTGCGGGGTGCCATCTGGAAGCCGCTTTCCGAGCGAATCTCCGAACAAATTGACTACTACTCCCCGCTCGAAATGGCCCTGATCGCTCATGCATTTGGCAAGACTGCCGTGCGTGAGCGGAGTCTCCTGGAGGGTCCGCTCACGGAAGCTGCCCTGGCAACTATCAGTGGTTACACACCAAAGCTTATTGCTTGCCTGCTAGATGGCTTGACCATGGCAGGCTGCTTGCGTGAAGACTTGTTCAGCTCCTTCATGGAGGAATACATTCGCTTGGGCTCGATTGGTGGTCGGCAGCGGCAACACATGATGGCACGGATCTTGTTCGCGGTCATGCTGGAGAGAAAACATCTGCTGGAAAATCGAAGTGCGGCATGGCAGCCACTGTTAAGCCGCATAGAGCATGCACCCACAGACGCAGTGCTGTTGCCACACCACCGAGAGCTGGCCAGCTGTGCACGGGCATTATCTCTTGATGCCCGCATTCGACGGCGGAAGGGCCCGTACATCGTGGACTTGCATGTGCCGGTGGACGCCCACATTCCTGCAAATCCGGGTGCTAAGCACATGATTTCGGGCCTGGCAATCCACCTCATGGCCGAGGGGGAGTTTTGCCCTCTGACTGGTGAGTTGCTGGGGGCCACACGGCTGAGACGCCGTCAGTTGGAGCGGATGGGCTGGCAGCACTTGGGACTTCGGCGCAAGGAGTGGTTAGCTCTGCCCGATACCGATGCACGGGTCACCGCCCTGGAGGCCCTGCTCGTGAAGCACGTTCCCCTGAGGCGCCGTTCCTTGACGGAACAAGCTCTGCCCCTCCAGATCACTGACTCGCAGCAAGTCCTTCTGTCGAGCTCCTCCGCCCTTCAGGAGTCGAACGAGTCGGAGACCGGAGATGTGAGCCGTGAGCCAGCCTTGCCAGAAAGCATCGAGGCCTCGGAGCCAGATCAGGAGGCTAAAATTGCTGACACCTTCTACTTACTGACTACTGCTTCAGTACCCCTGCTTTCGGATCCTGGTTCATGTATTCCACAGTACGATAGAGACTAGTTGTTTCGACTTTCTATACGATCGATCACCTTGTGTCAGACTGGTGCACAGTAACATTCATTGAAATACTACTGTCACACTGATCTTGTCATCTCCGCCATCAACGTATTCATCTTCGCATATTGCACCATTACTTTTGCACCTATGATCTTAAAACCTCAGCACCAAAAAACATTGTCGTGACCGTTCTCGTCTTCACAAGTACCAACCAGGTTTCCATTCTGGAGCGGCATGCCTAAGTCATCCTTTAATAATTGCCGAACTATGATTGCGTAGTGCTAGAGCTTGAGACCCCAACCAGTCGAACGTTTATAAGCCTCCGACCCCCACACCCAAAGACCCTACGCCTCAAATCCTACACTCCTAATCTACTGCTCGAACCCCAAACCTTGTCACTACATCTTAAACTCTGCCTAAGCCCTAAACCCTAAACCCTATAACCCTAAACCCTAAACCCTTTAACCCTACAATAAACCCTATAACCCTAAACTCTGCTTCAGACCCCCATCTGTCAACTGTGCCAGGCCACGGTTCGGGGTACGTGGGCGCACCCATCCTTGAGAGTCGCAGCCTTGGTTAATACCACAAAACCTTATTCTGATTATTAAGGCCCCTACATCAGGCCTTTTTTGGTTGAGGTTCCAGATCAGGCTTGGAGTTTTAGCGGTAAGACTCCTTGTGAAGAAGGGTTGCTATAAGGACTATTTGCGTTAGGATTCAATTCCTTAGGAAGGAAGGAAGAAACGAGGGTAACTATATGGGTCCTCGTTTCAAGCATGAAGGGTTCAAAACGAAAGAAGAAGCCTGAAAGAGTCTAGGGGCCTTTGTGGTTTATCCTTTTCGGCGATAGTCGGCCTTCGGCCTTGGAGATGGGTTGCTTGATAAAGTCGGATATGGATCCCTCAGTGATAGGGAGCCTACAGCTCCGGTTAGCTAGTGGGTTGCTGGGTTCCCTGGTTTAGGGTTTAGGGTTTACGGAGTTTAAAGTTTAGGGTTGGGGGTATACGGTTACTATAAGTTAGCAAGATGGCAGCTTCAGGATGACTTGTTCAGGCTTTCTGCGGGCGGCTTCGGGAGTTGTGACAAGGGTCGTAACAGTTGCTCATACTATTCCTTAGCGCACCTTGTACTAAGCCTGCATATCCCGCAAACCCTTTCTAGTCTGGGTATTGAGGCCCCTATCTCAGGTTTCGGGCTTGCGACGCTTCGAGCGCAAAGTTAGACGGTTGTTGGAGATAGCATGGTCGCCAAGCGACATTTATAGCTGGGGTTGTTGTCGAGTTTGTTGTTGGACCATGTTTCGCCGGTCTACAGCCTTTGAGGCTACGCTTGCTGGTTTACGGTGACATACGGAGTGTCATGTATACTAGCTTTCAGCCTAGTCTACCCTGCACCAATGCCAGATGCTCAAGCACAGTGTAAGCCACGCCGAGGTATCGGCGGCCACAAGGCACGTTGGGGTAGTAGTGGTCGGGTTGCATCCGTGGCCCGCTGAACTTTAAAAAGGCACTATGTTCAACGCACGTTTAATCTTCCGTGCCATCAGTACTGATGGCCTTTTTTTCTGGAGCTGTGCGTTTCTTACCAGTCTGCCACGAAGACTGGCTGCTACTGCTTCAGCGCCACGCCGCTGACGACAACCACGACGTCGCACGACGACGTCAACAACGTCAGCTGCTACTGCTCCTGCTACTGTAATTACTGTTATTACTGCTGCTGTTACTGCTACTGCTACTACCATTCCTACTGATACTACTACTTCTACTACTGCTACGGCTACTGCTGATACTGCTACTGCTCCTGCTGCTGCTACTGCTCCGGCTTCTGCTCCTGCTCCTGCTGCTGCAGATACTGCTACTGCTATACTGCTATACTGCTACTGCTACTGCTACTATGCTACGGCTACTACTACTGCTACTTCTACTGCCACCACCACTACAACTGCATGACGACCACGTCCTGTCGCACTGCTTTCTGTCTAGCTGTACACTTTGGACCATGGGCTCTGTACCGCACAGCCCTCGGAGTATCGTATGAGGTCCCTGAAAGGCATCCCTAAAGGAACCCTTAACAGGAACTCCAAGCCCTTGCTGGCCTGCAAGGTGTCGGACATGTCAGAGCTTGTGAGTCGATTGCAACAGGAGGCACGCAACGGAGTCCGATGGGCAGAGGGATATCCCGAAGGTAAACGTCAAAGTTTTCAGTCGAGGTTGTCGATCACCGCATCAACCTCTTCTCACACCCGGAGCTGCCTAAAAGTTACATTAAAACTGCAGACAGGTTGTTTCCTAGACATCCCAAACCTTGTAAATTCAAATCTGGACTCTGACAGGCTTGCCTGAGCCGCAAACCCTGATGGCAAACCCTTGTAACCCCATCGGTTTTGGTCCCAGGTATTCGCCAGATACCGCAACCTTTACGCAATAAGTAACATCCCCTACACAAAACAATTGCAACTGTACAAGGGCGTATAAAGTGGTATATCTATCTATTTATCTATCTATCTATCTATCTATCTATCTATTCTCTGTCTATCTGTTTATTTATCTATCTAGCTAAGGATCTATCTTTCTATCGATCTATCTGTCTGTCTGTCTATCTATCTGGCTATCTATATACCTGTATACATACACACACACACATATATATATATATACATATATATATATATTTATATTTATATATATATATGTACACATGTATATATACACACACCCACACACACACACATATACATACATACACACACATACATACATACATACATACATACATACAGACATATATACATACATACATACATACATACATACATACATACATACATACATGCGTACATACATACGCACATACGTACATACATACAGACATACATACATACACACACATATATATATATATATTGCTATATGTACATGCGTGTGTATGTGTACGCGTGTATGGTTATTTGTATGTGCATATGTCGTGTATGTTGATGTATGTACATAAGTATATGTGTATGTATACGTAACATTGTATACATCTGTACACATGCATACATAGATGTAGACATGCATAACATACTACATGTGTACTATGTACATGTATGTGTGTATGCGTGCATATATACATATATATATATATATATATATATTATCCAAGTATGGGTACCTGTGTATGCCTGTATGTGTGTGTATATGTAGATGTGTACATGTATGTGCGTGTATGCATGGTTGATTCTCTATCCGCCTGTCTGTCTGCCTGTCTTTCTCTGTCTGTCTGTCTGTCTGTCTGTCTGTCTGCATGTCTGCATGTATGTGTGTATGTATGTATGTATGTATGTATGTATGTATGTATGTATGTAGGTATGTAGGTATGTATGCATGTAAGATGTATGTATATATGTTTGCCTGTATGTGCGTGTGTGTGTGCCTGTATGCCGGTGGGTCTGTATGTACGTCAGCGTAAGTTGTCAACATGCCGGAGTTCAAGATAACTCTGCGGGTTTAGTCGTTGTCTTCGGGATTCCTCGCCTTACCTTGCCGAGCGCGAGTGCCCAAAATGTGTGCACGCATGTATACACACACACATATATATATATACTTATTTATATGTTTCTATTTATATACACAGGTAGTACAATGTACCTCCAAAAACACTCTTCGCATTCTTGCTGTAGGGCTTTTTGAGTTTGGTGGTACCAGTCAGGTGCGGGAGAAGGACTTCGTGGAGATCGAGTTTACAATGGCCGCCGCTTGGCTTCGAAGAACCCTACAACAAAGGCCTTGAACAATGAGCAGTCAGTACTTGAACTATTTATTCAGGTGCTAATTTATATCAGGACATCACAACCCCCGAACATAAAAGATAAAGGGGGATCTGAAGCCCGAGAACCCTGCCGTATGGCCTGAATAAAAGGTTTTTCCGAACTAAACCCCTAAACCCTAAACTACCCTAAACCCTAAACTACCCTAAACCCTGCAGAAGCGAGGCCCAGACCTAGCCTCGAACCCCAGAAGCTCGGTCGGCTAAGCCCCAAACCCTAAACCCTACAAAACCCCAAGAAGCGCTGAAAGCCTCGAAACATCCGTCAAGACTGTAGACCTCACGGCTTGGATGTAACTCTTCAGGCTTTGATGTCATCATAATGTCAACAGGTTGTTATAGTGTTACTTCAAACTAGGGGTCTTCAATCTGCGTTTATGCCTGTTTCTGCTTCGTTTAGCAGTTACATTGTTGTCTCATGGGGGTGTCTTCGCGCTGGCTATACTTTTACTTTCAGACCAGTACAGCTGCCTTTATACATTGGCCTTGAAGTCGTCCCTATAGAGGTACATTGGGGCCACAGTATACAATATTTGGGTACATGAACCCTTAGAGACGAATGTAGTACACACAGTCGGGGCTTGGAGCTCGATGGTGAGACTCCCGGGCTTCACTTAAATGCAGAGTTTCGGACTGTCAAGCTGATCTGGATTTGACGGTTTGGGGTTTGTGGGGCTGGACCCACTTCGGCGTCCTTGATGTCCTAGTTGCATGCGTTTCTTTCGTGCTTCCTCTCACACGCAAACTGGATCGACTCTATTAACTCCATAGATGTACTTAGCATGGCGCATTGGCTTGCGAGCAGCAAGAAGGGCGGCAAGTGCAAGATGTCATTTTGGACAAATCGGCGTAGGTTGGTGGTTTCGGACTATATGCCAGAGTCTCGAGCGCGGCAACCAGGCAACCATCGACACACCACAGGCAAACTCAGCTGTGACGATGCTAAGTCTAAGTTGTGTTGCTTCGCACCGGCGCATCTCGCACATCGACAATCTGCTGATGAAAAGCGCAATGACCCCTAGGTCCAGCGAGGCAATGGCCACCATGCTCTCGGCATCCTAAACCCTAAGCCCTATATAAGGCCTAAACCCTAAACCCGAACACTGTGGATCCTCGCCTGGCCTGTCCGAGTTGTGAGAGCATAAACCCGAACCCCTAAACTTACAAAGTCCGGAGGTGCCTTTTAAGTCGGGCCTGGCAGCTGTAGTATCTTCGCTAAGATGCCAACAACCAAAGATCAGCATAGATGAATATAGATAGCTTCCTTGGGGTTCCTTTGTATTTTTCTAAAATGTAACCCCCCAAACCCTGTTCGAACTATTGAGGCCCCTATGTTACAGCCTGACGGCTCGTCAGCGTCCCAACCTTTCGCTGTTGAGCTGCAGATTCCGAGCTTATTGCTTGGGCCAACCCCCATAGGCCCAGATACCCCTACACCCTAAACCCTAAACCACGTTTTCGGAATTAATTCAGCTTCCAATCATCCGCTCGGACCGAAAGGCCCTGAGGCCTTAAAGTAAAACCCTAATACATGACAACACCCATTCATCAAAGCCCTTAGTCCCAAACCTTGAGCCCAAGATAATGTCGGAGCTTGATAGCCGAAATAGGGTTCCTCATATGTACGCATACCCATCGATCCGTATATACACACATAAACACATGTATGCATATATATATATATATACACACCTCTCTCTCTCTCTATATATACATATGTATATAGAGATATATGTTTTAAGGCTCCTTCATTAAGGTAGGGCCCTACACCATGGTCCTGAAGTCGGCTGATGTGGCAGAGGCAGAATCGTTCTGAGTGCCGGAAGAAGCTGTGGGGCTTGGTTTTGGGGTTGAATTAATTTTGGTTCAGGGGATTAGTTTTTGGGTGGTTTCCTTGAGCTGCAAGTGTAGTGTTCAAGTTTGAGATGACTAGCAAGGTGGTGTGTGAGGGTTTTCGATGTCAACAGACTTTCCTCAGCTTGTTGAGTTTAGGGTTTCGGTTGGCATATGCTGTTTTCAGCCCTGACTGCGTGTCTTCCTGAGTGGCAAGAACTCAGCGTTGTCAAGCTTCAGTTGGCTTGACTTGTTCGCATGTGGAAGTGTCACGACGAGGAGTTTCGTGATCAGTGTTTTCTTCGTTTGAAGATTGCATGGTGATGCTGAGCTTTAGCTTGATTCTGACGAACTTCCTGGACCCCAGAATAACATAGGGACCCTATTAATTACCTATACTATTTGCGAGGGTTCCTTATTTTAGTTATGGAATGTTATAACGTTTAGGGAGTGAGTTCCCCTGTTCCCTCAGATGGCCATAATCATTTTAAGCTTCGACTACTATAATTCGCCCATGCTTCGCTTCGTGCGCCTAGCTTCTATACAACGCTGTCGCAATACGCTGCAGACAACATGGGTCATGGTAGTTCAGAATATAAGTCACTCGATATGGCCCACCTTAATTTTGCGAACAAGTTGCTTGGTTGACGAGCATTCGCTCCAAAACACTAAACATACCCCTTAAGCCCCGAATCGTGAACGCTCAACCCGAAAGGCTAAGCCTGAACCCCTAACCCTAGCCTTTAGCCATAAACCCGATCCGTCAACCTCAAACCAAAAAGCCAGAACCCCACGTGGCGAAACCTAACCCCCTTAACCAAACATGTTGAAGCCTCTGGCGCTCAGTCCCTGTATACAAAATTCCCAAGCCGGGCCTCGAACCCGTACAGCGATCCTAAACGTCTGCATGGACAATTCCTTCCATGAGCCCCAACAACCCGAAACCCCGAGCTCAAAATTGACCTGAAACTGTTAACCCCTAATCTCCAATTCCCACCCCAACTCTGGCTTAACCGTGTTAAAACCGACCAGAAGCTTAGGGTTTGGGGTTTGGGAAACCCTAAACCCAAAAACCCTAAACCTTAAACCCCAAGCCTCAAACCGAAAAACCCTATTAGGGTTTAGGCTTACAGTGCCCTAAACCAAGCTTCTCCTGTAGAAATCGAGGCAGAGGTTCGAATCCGAGAGCTTTACCAGCTGCCACGGCCCAAGAACGGAAGGGTTTCGGGTTTAGGGTTTAGGGGTTTAGGGCTTAGGGGTTTAGGGATTCGGGTCTGGGGCCGAGATATCTGTCGATTTACCTACCTATCTGTCCATCTATCTATCTAGCCATCTAGTTCTCTCTATCTCAATCTCACTATCTCTCTATCTATCTATCTGTCGATCGATCTATATACATACATTCATATGTGTATATATATATATATATGTGAATGACTTAAGCATTGTTTACCCACACATGCATGTCTGCATGCATAGCTGCTTAATCGATGTCCTTACATGCTTATTCGACTGTAAACACAGTCTGGAAAGTGTACGGGCTTTATAAGTTGAAGGTGTGTGCGATTGAGACTCTGGGCTGGAGGGGTTTAGGGTTGGACGGGTTGAGGGTTTTTCAGTTGTTGGCTCCATGGTTGTTGGTGCATGCGTTTTTCGGGACAGAGTTTGACAAACCAGCCTCAATGGTTTGGATTCAAAACTCTTCTAGTTGGGGACTATGGACTATTTCCCTGGCCTCTTGCTTAGGGTACTTACCTGACTTGTTTACATAACAGCTACTACCAAAATGAGGCTCTGCCTCACCAACCACGGTTCGGGGTCTAAGTCTAAGTCCTTGAAACCGTACGGGGCAGCTTACAAGCAGGAAGGCCCAGGCTTTCCCGAGTCTTGCGATCCTTAGGGTGAACATACCGGCAAAGCCTGTGCTAGTCATTCAGGGCCCCAGAATTGAGGGTTGAGGGCTCTAGACAACACGGGCCCTATACCTTCCCTTCAAAAGGTGCCATAGGCTTCTATAATATGATCCCCTTCAAGCCCTAAACCCTTTAAACCCTAGACCCTAAACCCATAAGCCCTAAACCCTTTAAGCCCTAAGCCCTTTAAGCCCTAAACCCTTCAAGCCCTAAACCCTTTGAGTTTAAGAGAAAACCCCATCGATCCGAGGCCCGCCTTGGCCTCGCGAAATCTGCACGCTGAGCCCACTCCCGCCATTCCGCCGCTGGTGGGCGTGGCTGCCGGATGAGGACTCCTAAAAGAACCCCAAGGCCCCTAAACCCTAAGGCCCCTAAACCCTAAACCCTAAGGCCCCTAAACCCTAAGGAACTACAGAGCAGCGGGCCGGGCTTCGAGGTTTCTGAGGCTTTTACCCAGAACCTACTGTAAACTCGAGATTTGGGCCTTGGGCCGAAGACTGTAGCGCTTAGGGCTAAAGGAAGCTTGTAAAAGGCTACTAGTATAATGAAAGGAGCCCCACAAGGATACTATACTATAAGGTTCTAGGATGATGAGGGTCCATTAGAAGGGTTCAGGGCCAAGTTCTGGGTATCAGGATCCGTACGGTTGCTTTTTATAGGTTTATATAGATGCCTTAGTAATTAGAATAGGGTTTGGCGGTACATTCTACTATAACTATAACAAGGAACCCCAAAAACCCTATTCTAATTATTAAGGCCCCTACATTAAGGATTCTTGGGCTTAGGGCTGCCGGATGAGGGGCGTAGGTACAGGGAATCGGTTTCGGGTTACTATAGGGGTTCTATCAGTGTTTAGGGTAAGTAAGAGTGGCTGAGGGTTCTGCAAGGGCTTTGGGTTTTGGGACTTGGCCTTCCATTTACGGCCTGGGGGCTGCCTTTTCAGGCCTTTCAGGAGTTTAATTTGAGGGCTCCTTCAAGGTTCCATAGGGGTTTCAAGGCTTAGGCTGGCCTTTCGCATCTTCATTTTCTGACCAGGCGATGATCAAGTATCATTTTTTGCACCCGAGTCTCTTTCTAGCACCACGCCATGATATGTGAAAGTCTCTTCTTAGCAACCCGCCACAGCACGACTGCCATCATCAAACCTGCTCGTGCAAAGTGGTCCGTGACAGCCACAAAGTGGGAGCCTTCCGCACACACTGGTGACCTGTGGCCAGCCGTTTCTGATGCACGTGCAGTGCCCATCTTCCTATAACCACTCGAGCCAACGCCACGGGATCTGCTCCCGGTTTGAGGGTTAGTATAGTGGTTTCTATGGGGTTACTGTAAGTACAGAGGGTTTTGTTTTTTGGGAAGCGGTTTGGTGTCGATATCGGGTTCATTGGACGTCCCGTGGCGGCCTCAGTTTCACTGGATGCAGTTTCTCGCAATTCAGTCCTACCTCTCCACGAAAATAGAGGAACTCGACTAAGAACCCCGTGGCTCTTAATCCCAATCCGAAGAAATGCGTGGTTTACCTTAGGAATTTGTGGCTTCAGGTTGTGGTTTCAGGACTAGTGTTCGGGGCGGCTTGAGCTTCGGTTTTAGGGTTTTACCGGCTTCTGGTGGGGTTTAGTTGTCTTTCGAGTCGTAGTGAGGTGGATTAGGTTGCGAGGGTGGGAGTTTGAGGTCTAGGGTTCAGAGGACTTCAGTGTACAGGGGTTCGGGCCTAGGCTTCTGGAAATGCTTTTGAACATTCCACAACGCGTGATGTTGACGGCCACGGGAATCATCATCGTGAAGATCTCGGTGGTTGTCGTGGTGGTGGTGGTGGTGGTGGTGGTGGTGGTGGTGGTGGTTATGGCGGTGGTACCGGTGGTGACTAGGCCAATGGCAATAACCAATAGCTACAACTTGTAGTTTTTCTGGCCAAAACCCTGAAGCTGCGAGTTGTAGGGCATACGGTTACCGTAGGGCATACGGTTTAGAGCTTGCAGAAAGAAGCGTTGGGTTTCTTAGTTTATCACCAAACACACCCTACACTCTTAAAAGGGCCCAGGGCGAGGCTGTTCGGCTTGGGTTAAAGCTCTGTTTAGGCCAGAATTGCAAAGCTTCAGATGGCAATGCCGCCTTGTTACCCTGCTAGCTACCAGAAGCCAGCCTCAGATTCCGAATCCTATAGGTTGTTTAGGGATAGCGGTTTGGGGTTTGAGGGTTTAGGGCTTGTAAGGCCTAGGGCCCTAATCTCAAAGATTCCCTCGTCGAGAAACCGTCCAGTATTAGTCTACCGGGCAATCTGCTCTTTGGTTTCGAGCAATGCTCTCTTCGACAGGAAACGACCTGTCCGCCCTCCCAGGAAGTACACACCGGTTTGCTTTTTGGGTCCACCCTTGAGGACGGCATGTATTCTAAAAGGCCTTCAGATTCAATGGCCCGATAAGGAAACATTCATCGTACGACGGTACTGGCAGCGCTTCTACTTTGCCAACCCAGGTGAGACTGCTTAAGCCATTGGACTCCTTACTCTCATCCTGCACACTACACTCCCAGATTCCTCCCATCTGCGCACGTCTCGACTGAAGTTGAGCCGCTGTGCGCAGACACCCTCACACTTCCCCCGTGCATGGTACAACTAAGCTGCATCTTGGCGGATGCCAATTGCAAAAACCTGTGTGTGAGCTGGGGCCAATTTCTCCAAATCCTGGCTGCAGCAGGCACTACAGAGTGGTTTGCAATCCTGGACGCCAGATTCACAAAGAGTTGTGAAGTTGAGCTAAGCGATTGTTTCGCATCTTGTCACTAGGACCTACTTTTTTGTAGCATGACACAGGATCAAACGACACACCAACATGCATCACAACTCCGGCGCCCTTCGCGCTGACCTCAGAACTATCGCAATGCTCTCAGAGGTAGATGAGGATGACAATTACGAGCTGCTGCAAAAAAACATCGGTTCAAGCTTCCACACACTGCTCCAAGAAATATTTCCAGGCTAAGCTGGATCTTTGTGAATCTCGTCTGCAAGCATTCATTGCCATCCTGCAGTCGGATATACATTCTGCAGCGGCGTCGCTGGGGCACTTCGGGGTCTGATCTTTCTCTTGGCACAGCCATGACAACATGTTGACGTTGCTTTTATCCAGTCAAAGATGCTGTCTGATCCTGCTTGAGTATGGGTCTCAGATACGAGGCAAGCACAAGGTCACGCGGCAAGACGAGTGCAGTTGTCTGGAGGTCCACATTGCTTTATCTGTGCAGACAGATGGCTCGCATGCAGCTCAAGAGTCGCAGGGCTTTGATTCGAGTTCCGTGTCTGAGCGCAAATGCCGAGCACCGTGCAATATGTTACTCGGGCTAATGTTCAGTTCGACTGTTTTCTTGATGACCGCCATCGTTATTTGCTAGATATACCCCAGAGCCTTTGGTTGCTTTAGTAGAGTACTCTTATGTATGTTGAAAGTTTGTTGCCGCTGTAGTTCTGAGATTGTTCGACCCAGCGTCAATGAGAACGACTGGGAACATGATCGCCGATGGTTTGCATGCCGCATATACCGGTACAGCGTCTAGTCCAGCCAAAAGTCTCGGCATTGCTTTTATCACTGCTGCATTGTTTGAATCTTACGTACTGTTATTCTAGTTATTGCTCTTGCATCTTATCAGCCGGCCTCATTGCTAGTAGTTCTGTCTGTCACCACTACCACCATCTCGCCAAGCTCCAAACTCGCTATCTGCATATGTTATGCAGTCTCATCTCTCTAGCTGCTGCAAGGAGTCAGTTTGGGGTCCTGGCTCATGCGTTGGAACTTCACCCTAAAACCACATCCTTTGACTCAAGAGCCCCGGAAGTATCAGCGACTTGGAGGGGCGTTCGCCCTTCCGTTGCACTGCAGCCCAAAGAGGGCCCTTAGGGGTAATGTCGGTGGGCTCCGAAAACACCAACATCCTGACTCTAGGGTCATGCGAAGTTTAGGCATTCGCAAATAGTCTTTGGAAAAGTCGGTTCATTGCAGAGTGGCATTCTCTTGGTGTGCGGTACCCCACGGTCAAAGCCCTTTTCACTTTTCATCCTTTTCATGAGTTCTGAATGGGTCATGGCTGCAAATATTCCTTGGTGATCCCGGCCGTGTCGCAGAAGAAAGCGCCGGGTACGTGCAACCCCCTGCACCCAAACTCCTCCTCAACCCTAAACCCAAAACCCTAAACTCCTACAGCCCTAAAACCTAAAACCCTAATCCCGAAACCCTAAACCCTAAACCCTAAACCCTAAACCCTATTTTGGGGCTGTAGGATTCAGTCCGAGGCCCCCAAGACCTCTTTCCTTGGAACTCCGCCAACCCGAAGGATACTCCGTGTGTTCCTCGATGTCAAAAAACCCTAGCCGCCCAGGTACCTGCTATATGGGGCCCTAGGGGCTCTAGTACCCTATATAGTAGGTAAATGGGGGG